TTACCCTCGGATTGTAGTTCATTCAACTCAACCAAGTCAAACATCAGAATCACTAGATATTCAATTTTCTTGTTTTTTAAAAAGTAACTGAAATCTTCATTGGTGACTTCTTGATATTTATAAGTCTATACTTTTCTTTGTTCATTTACTGTAAGGAGAACTATTCAAGTAAGGAGGGATAACCCCATGGTTTAACTAGAAACCATGTAATGTTTTAAGGTACAAAATGTCATTAAGTTCTAAAGCTGCTTTCCTTTTTAAGAACCAGAAGACCATAAAGAAATGTCTGAGCCAACAGAAGTTATTAACTTGAGACAATATAGGATACACCTGGTGGACAAAAAGATATTACCACTTAAATAACAAATTAGAAGCTAAAGTGCTGGTACCAATGAATTCCCTGTTACAATAACCTTGTGCAGCCTGTGAAGAAGTGGATGGCTCATCAAGACTAACACACTATTAAAGCTTTAATGAAGTAGTGCCACCATAGCATCAGCAGTCCCTGATATGGTTTCAACAGTACAAAAACACATACAGCAGGCTAAAGGAACATGGTACTCAGTGATTGATTCCCAAAAATGTTTTCTTCTCTGCCTCAATCTCAAAAATATGCCAACAGCAATTTTCCTTCCTGTGCAAGGATCCCAACTTACATTTACTGTACTGCCACAGGGTTATTTCAATTCACCAGTTTACTGGTATGATTTGGTTAGAAGGGATTTAGACTTCATGCAGGTTCTAAGAATAATAATTCATTGTATTGATATCATGATAATATCAGAAAATAAGGATGAAGGTAGGACTGACTTAAATGCAATGGAGACACACACGACCAACAAAGGCTTTTAATAAATCCAGCAAAGGTCCAAGTACTCGCCCAAACTGGTGAAATTCTTACGAATAACCTAGGCGGAATAGCCTTGACATTCCACAGGTAACGAATAGTTTTTGCCAACCACCTTTAGAACTAAACAAGAAGCCCAACATTTGGTTGGTATATTTGAATTTTGAATATTACCACATCTGGTAATATTACTAGTACTAACCAATACAACCACCCCAAAGAAGGTCATTCGTATTTGAATGAAGGGCAGGCCTTGTCTGAATTACAAAAAGTAGTCTATTTCCAGATGCATTTGGGGCCCTATGATCCATACTCGGAACGATTTTGTAAGTATCAGCAACAGAGATTGCGCAAACTGGAGTTTAGGGGGGATGGGGGTGGGCTAGAGGGGTCAATGGGGGTGGAAAGGGGGACATATGTAATACTTTCAACAAAATAAATAAAAATAAAAGGGGGGGAGGAAGAGGACAAGGAGGAGGAGCAGCAGCAGCAGCAGCAGCAGCTTAAATTCTCCCGTTAAGGAAGCAAAGCCCAGCTCTTCAGGCTCTGGAGGATATGTGAGGAGGAGAAGAAAGGTGTGTGGAAGCAGTCATGCCACATGTTCTTGCTTCCCTCCTTGGATTGGAACTGGGGAATCCTGGCATGGTGGATCCATCCAGATGGGTCTGCAGGAGTTTATGGACATAGACTAGGGGATGCTTCAAATCAGAAGCTTCTTAGGGTAGCTGTACCCAACAGGAATTTGGGCAAGAGCATGAAAGAGGGAGATGGAGGAGGGGAAGGAGAAGAGCCTCACAATGTGGTTTGATGCAGGGGACCCAGCACTCCCAGCTTGACACAGTGAGATGGGGACTGATCTGCTGCAAGGTCCCTCAGCCAGATGAGGCCTGAGAGGTTGAAGAGAGGAGACAATGATGGCCATGGGCATGGAGGATCAGCAGGCAGTAGTGGATGCCATCAAAAAAAAAGAAAAAAAAAGCCTATCAGTGCTACTCAGCAGCAACCACGGGGATTGTGGACCAGAAAATTCCTGGGTGCTATGGTAAGATATACGCCATGCAAGAGAAAATTACTGGCTTGCCATTAGGCATTACTTGAGACTGACTCTATGACTTAAGAACATAAAATAACCCTGAAACCTGAAATGCCCATAATGCCCTGGATGATGAAGGAGCACTCTAATAAGGAAGGCAGTGCCTAAAGGAGTTCTGTATACACAGAAACTATTTGTGCGCAAACATGCAACAAGGAGGATGCAAAGATGTATTTATGGTTTTTATGAGCAGGTGCCCAGCCTCTTTCCCCTTAAGTATGACTTTGGAACCACCCGAGGAGCTGCTGAATCCTATGATCCCACAAGTGGTGCTCTATAAACAGCTATTAACCAACGGAGAGATGCTTCGTTTATGGATGGCAGTGCCAAGGTGAAGGCACATTCTGTCTGGAAAGCTACCACTCTTAACTGAAGAAGGCAACAGCAAATCATATCAATGAGCTGAATTGCATGCTGTTGTCTCCTATATTTGGGTTTTTTGAACTCTGCAGTTGGCATCAGAAGCAAGGGTGGTCTTGTGGGCTGTTTCTTAACTTCATACAGATGATGAAGAGAACAATTTTGGGTAAGACTCAATGAAGTATTCAATATTGAACACTTTCAACTTTGACTATGGGGGACCACTGAAGGGGTCTTTTAAAGAAGGGTGGGGAGGGGGGCAACTCCCTATCTTACCAAAATAACCCTTGCAGCAATATGGACAGATGAATTTAACAAGATAAACTTCTAAACAAGGAGACCAGTTAGAAATGTGTTGAACATAGGTTTTTAATTCCAATGACATGGGTTCTGCAATAGTCAATCGAGGAAAGGTGAAAAGTATGAACTAAAGAAAAGGGGAAAAGCATTCAACAGATAATAGGACCTGGTATATTTTCCTTTATCAAGGAAAATGACAAAGAAAGGGGAAGGATCATGGCTAAACTTTGACAGAGGGGCAGTGGAAGCTATTCTTTCATGAGAAAAAGGATGCCATCTTCTTGTTCTTTTTGAATTTTGTCATTAATTTAAAAAGCCTAAGAAATCTAAGATTTCTCAAAGATCTAACTGAGGCTGAGAGAAAGTAATCTAGTATCTTACTGAGATTATTACAAAATAATCAAAGGTAAGATTTGGCCCTGAGGTAAAGGCAGGCACAAGATTAGTAACCTCAAGTAAAATATTAGCCAACCTTCAGGTAAGATGAAACATACTGGAACAAATTAGGATATAAACATTTTAAGTACATTTCTAATCAAATGTTCTGTAGAACATAAGTGCAGCCTTAGGAAAGAACAAAGAGCATTATATATATGATTAGCTTTGAGGGATTCTACATACTGTATTCTAGGTTCTATATACCATATGGGAGAAAATAAGCATATGAACTAAAATAGATCTGGAGTCTGACCACTTTATTCAAATTCTGGTTCTACCACTAACAGTGAGACCGTGTACACATTACTAAAACTTTTTGGGAACAGACTCCCTCTCCTTTAAAACAGGCATGATACTAGTACCAACACTTCATGGGTAATTGGTGTGAATTCAGAAAAGTGTGGCACAAACTATGAATTAATGTATCACCTCCTTTTTAGGAGAATTCTAAATGAATTCCAATGAATCTAACAAATTAAAACCTCTAAGACATCTTACAGTTAAAAAACAGATGAAAGTGTGGTTGATCCAACTTGGCCTACTCTTTTATGACAGGAGATTCATAAAACCTATTTCCAATTCAGCTGAACTGTTTTAAGAAAATACTTTAGAAAATTTTGTATTGGTAAGCAAGACCATCTTTTTAACTGTAATAAATAGATGTTATATCAACTGGGAAATTTACTAGAGGATTTTGTTATATAACGGACAAGAAATTTCAGTACATTCTAGAACAGTTAGGATGTTACAGACTGGTGATAAGTAAATACTATTGAATTCTGAGGTTATAACGGGTTAAAATACTAAGATATGTATTAAAGAATTAGTAACTATGCTACTTAGATGCTTATAAAGTCCTGATTTTTCTGCAAATTGTATATCTAAAATGAAACCAGTTTATTTATGCTTTAACGTTAAAATAGGTATCATTTATCCATACCCATGGGAATATTACCTTTTTAGATCACAGCTCATAGCCTAAATAACACAGTACTTGAAAAAAAGTGTATCTGAACCAAGGCAGAGCAAACAAAGAAATACAATTCCATTCTTACAAACCCAAATCCATATAATGCAGTGGTTCTCAACCTTCTGGCCCTTTAAATACAGTTCCTCATGTTGTGACCCAACCACAAAATTATTTCCGTTGCTACTTCATAACTGTAATGTTGCTACTGTTATGAATCGTAATGTAAATATCTGATATGCAGGACGGTCTTAGGCGACCTCTGTGAAAGGGGGTCGTTCGACTGCCAAAGGGGTTGCGACCCACAGGTTGAGAACCACTGAATTTTTAACAAATTATTAGGTATGAATGTGAAAACCATTAATTTATCAAAAACGTTTTAAGAAATATACAGCCGGCCGAAACCGGTTTGGCTCAGTGGATAGAGCGTCGGCCTGTGGACTGAGAGGTCCCGGGTTCGATTCCGGTGAAGGGCATGTACCTGGGTTGCGGGCACATCCCCGGTGGGGGATGTGCAGGAGGCAGCTGATCGATGTTTCTCTCTCATCGATGTTTCTAACTCTCTCTATCTCTCTCCCTTCCTCTCTGTGAAAAATCAATAAAATATATTTAAAAAAAAAAAAAAAAAGAAATATACAGCCGAAACCGGTTTGGCTCAGTGGATAGAGCATCGGCCTGCGGACTGAAGGGTCCTAGGTTCGATTCCGGTCAAGGGCATGTGCCTGGGTTGCGGGCACATCCCCAGTGGGAGATGTGTGGGAGGCGGCTGATCGATGTTTCTCTCTCATCGATGTTTCTGACTCTCTATCTCTCTCTCTCTTCCTCTCTATAAAAAATCAATAAAAATATATATATATAAAAAAAGAAATATACAAAAGTGAGAATTAAAATGCTAACAAAGAAATTTGTGGAATACATACTTGCTTTAGGAAAAGTAAATAAGAATTTTTAAAGAACTTTTTATAATATTTCTTGATAAGCAATTATGACTGTACCTATGTTCTTTGTGTTCCAATAGCTGACAGTCTCTACATGTCAATCTGTCACATGTTTCACAGAAAAGTTTCAACTGTTCTTGTTTGTGTACAGGGCAGAAAACAGGGCGTTGACCAGATGCTCCAACAGACTCTGTAGTAAAATAAAACATGTATTTTTAAACTAAAAATTTTGTCTAACTTTCTAAATTCTTATCGATACTGGTATCCAAAGCTTATAAAGAATATGCAGAAATGATATAAGGGCAAAAGAGGGAGATTAATAGTAATCATTAAAATTGCTTCTCTCTTACCTGAGACATCTTCTTTCTTCCTGATCAAGTGATCTTTAGTGAATTTCACTCTTTGATGTGCTTCAATACATGTCTTACATAGCCACTCCCCACATTCTACACAAAAGCCAACTGCACTTGCATTGTCTTCACAACTAGTGCAGACCTAAAAGAGGAAATAAATACTAAGCTACATTAGATTTACAAAATATAGATCCACAAAATAAAAAGGTGTAAACTTCCTAACTTGCTTCCAAGTTACATATATTAATTTACGTACCTAGAATAAAATTATTTTATTATCCATTTATCTTTAATGAGATCCTCTCCTTCCAGATCAAACACTCAGTGGATAAGAATCTAAGTCTCAGAAACAAAATCTATAAAAGATTTCAATTTCTCAGTAATGATCTTGTCTCATTGAGCCAGATCTGCGAGGGTATAGAATAAAGATACCCTTTATTTTCAATTTGAAAGATGTAACTATAGCAGAACTAGCCTAATTTATGTAACAACCCAAACATGCTTTTCTAGTAATTTACATTTTGATATCAAGATAGAAATATAAAGAAAAATTGAGAAGCATACCTGTTCTGATTTCTCATCAGAACTGCTAGGAGCTTCAGATGTATCTTTCACAAAATAATTATCCACAAGGTCTATCTGTCTGCATTCTTGGCGGCATACTGGGCACCGTATCACACCAACTACAATATAAAATAACATTAAGAAATATTTTTCAGAAAAAAGTAAGAAAAACTGTGCATGTTGCCCATATGAAAACTAGTCATTCAATATGTTACAGACAAGACCAAAGAAATGAGCATTAAGGGCTGAGTAAAATAAGCCACTGAATTATTCCATTGGGGAAAAAATGATACCCTACTTAGGAAGAGAAAAACAATCGTTAATATGCAAAAAGTTTAAAGGTGCATCTTTATTACAATATGTGTTTTCCAAAAGATATCCAAGTCCTACTCCTTGGAAAACCTGTCAGTGTCACTTACACAGCTGATTAAATTAAGGCTCTTGAGATGGAAATGCTGTCCTGGATTATTGGATGGGCCCTAAATGCCATCACAAGTGATCTTGTAAGAGGGAGGCAGAGGAAGATTAGATTATAAAAAAGAAGGCAACTGATAATGGAAGCTTTCGAGATGGAGCCACAAGCCACGAAATACAGGTAACTTCAATTGTGGCTAAAAAACACAAAGAAACAGACTCTTTCCTCAGAGCCACCAGAAAGAGCCAGAGCTGCTGACACAGACTCTGCAAGACACTCTGACGTCAGCCCAGTAAAACTGAATTCAAACTTTTAGCCTCCAGACCAGTAAGAAAATAAAATGTGTTGTATTAAGGCCCCAAGTTTATGGCAATTTTGTTACAGCAGCAACTGAAATATACAATCTATCATCTTATAAATTCTGACTTAGTTCAGAACTACATGAATTCATGCTAGTGTGGTAAGAAAGATCATCTGTCCCTTAACCTGCTATCGCTCCAGCATCTGTAAAAACAGATAAACCTGCTGAGGTAACATACAGATGTTAAAGTTAACAATTAAAAAACAGCACCACAGTCAACACAACAAACTGATTACTACGTATCAGCCATAAATTTGAGGATATAGCATAAATGACACAATCCTTACTTTCAAGAGAGGGTTCCAAGACTAGTATATAAATTTTACTTTTTACACCATGCAGAGATAAGGAGAGATGAATACTACAAACAAGAAGAAAGCTAAATAACTGAATGAGAAAGCCCAGCATGTGTCAATCAGAAGTTCTAGAAGTTCATGAAGGAAAGGAGGCAGAGATGCTTTATCAAGAGATAATGACCAAGAATTTCAAAACTGAATAAATGAGTTCTCAAATCGCAATCCAATTCCTGAGCAGGATAATTAAAAATAAATCCACACCTAAACAAACCAAAGATGGAGCAAAAACTCTTCATAACTGCTAATAGAAGAATACAATCAAGACTAACAACAGAACTACCTCATCAGTAAAAAAACAATGCCAAAAGATAGCAGGCAATCTTTTCAAAGCTTTTAGAGAAAATAACAGCCCACCTAGCAATCTATATCCTGATAAAACTATTACTCCAGTGTAAAAGGAAATTAACTTTTCAGACATATAACAGAATCAGTGTTATAACTAATGAAGCATTAAGTTGGACCATATAAATCTGCCAATAGTAGACCACTTCAGACCTTCAAATACAGCAGTTTTATACAGTTCAACCTAATCTCATATATATATATATGTTTATGTGTGTGTGTGTGTGTGTGTGTGTGTGTGTGTATAAAAATAAAAGGCTAAGTGACCAATGGTACATCCGTCCAGCCGGTGCATATGACACGCACAGGCAATTTAAAAATAATAAACACTGACTCGCACATGCACAACACATATAAAGCTCTCGCTGGCGCATGTAAAAGGCTAAGTGACCGACCTGGCACTTCTATTATAAAGGGCGAATAGCAATACCAAAATACTTCTTCTAATTAATTTCCTTTCAATGTGCATGAATCCGTGCACTGGGCCACTAGTATTTAAGAATGTGGAAAAATATTTAGAAGCGAAATTTCAAAAATAATTAACAAAGACATCAATAATAAATATGTATGAGCTAAAAGTAAATATATATATATTAATTTTGGAAGTGGAAAATACATGAAATTAAAATATCAAACTACAATAATTTATTCTAATTCAATTTCAGCTTAAAAAAAATTCTAACTACAATATGAAGAGGAAATTGAGATAAAAGGTTAATTAAAAATAAGGTAGCCTGGACCAGCTGGTGTTGCTCAGTGGTTGAGCAACAACTATATACTGGAAGTTTGCCAGTTTGATTCCCAGTCAGGGTACAAACCTGGGTTGTGGGTTCGATCCCCAGTTGGGACACATGGAAGGCAGCCAATCACATTGATGTTTTTCTCTCTCCCCCTTCCTCTCTCTAAGCATGTCCTTGGGTGAGGATTAAAAATAATCAATTAATTAATTTTAGAAAATAGGTAAAACCCTGCCTTAACAAAATAAGTGAGGCCCCAAAATTCAACTGCATAAAATAGAGAATTATTTTTTTATTATTATTATTATTATTTCCCCTCGTTAATTATAATTAATGAGGGGGAATAGGATCAAGGACAGTATCCTTCAGTACACCAATATTTATGACTTGAGCAGAAAAGGAGTTCTCTGTTGGAAAGTAAAATAATTGCATAAGCTTTCTTAGCCAGCCAAACTAAGACTAACATGAACTAAGACTGTAGTTTGATACCAGGCTGAAGCTGTTGTTCTAAGGAATTCCAGGAATTAGTTGGTGCCATTTTTCCCACTTGATTCATAAAAACTGGCTCAGAAGACCATTGGGACCTCTGCCACCCAGATCTCTTCTCTGATGTTTCCCAACCCACCCTTCCTCTACCCAGTACTTCTGCCCTCACTCTAGTAAGAATTTTAACCTGCCTGTTTGAGAATGAGGAGATAATCATGATCAAATTATATTTAAGTCTGCATTAATACAAAGTTTTACTGTAAGACCCATCAGTACTTATTGAGAAATTTATATGTATTAGTTCACTGAGTCCTCAAACACCTCTTAAAGTAAGTTCAATTACTATCACCATTTCAAAGATGAGGAAATTAAGGTTCAGAGCTCAAGTAACATTCTCAAGATCATATGGCAATGTAAACAGGAGTTGAGAGAAGGGCCAAGATCTGAAACCATGATGTCTGAATATACCCTTCCTCTTAAAACCTAGGCTAAACTAGCTCTCTAGTTAAAAGGCTGGTTCATTAGTCACAAAATAAGAGACTAAACTATATAGATATATGGAGGATAATTTAGAGGCAAAACCAAATGACTTCATGATGACTGTATGATGACGGTGTTAGTAATTCATGGACAATTACACAATTGCTCAAAATGAGGGGAAAGTAATCTTAGCCAGAATGTAATAAGTTTTATATAGAATGTGTTTATAGTCCAGAGGGAACCACCAGCATTGTAAGTAGTTCAATCTGAAGCAGTTATAATTAACTAGAGGCCCAGTGAATGAAATTCGTGCACCTGGTTGGGGGGGGGGGGTCTGGGATCCCACAGCCTGGCCTGCACCCTCTTGCAGTCCGGGAGCCATCAGTCGGACATCCCTAGAGTTGCCTCAGAGGCAGGAGAGGTTCCCACCACCACTGCTACGCTCGCCAGATGTGAGCCTGACTTCTGACTGAGCAACGCTGCCCCTGTGGGAGCACACTGACCACCAGGGGGCAGCTCCAGCATTGAGTGTCTGCCTCCTGGTGGTCAGTGCATATCATAGCAACCAGTCGTTCCACTGTTTGGTTGATTTGCATATTAGCCTTTTATTATATAGGATGAGGAGAAGTAGGATCAAGGACAGTATCCTTCAGTACACCAATATTTATGACTTGAGCAGAAAAGGAGTTCTCAGATTTAAGAAACAGATTTCAAACATTTCTCAAATGCAAATCACAAGTACACTTTCCATCAAAAGCCAGTACACAAAAACATAGGCAGAAAAATCTCAGACATCTTTCACAGCAATATTTTTGCTAATACATCTGCTTGGGCAAGGGAAACACGGGAAAAAAAATAAACAAGTGGGACTACATCAAACTAAAAAGCTTCTTCACATCAAAAGAAACCAGCATCAAAATAAAAAGGGAACCCACTGTATGGAAGAACATATTTGCCAATGATACATCCAGTAAGGGGCTAATATCCAAAATGGGCAGACCTGAATAGACATTTCTCCAAAGAGGACATACAAATAGCCAAGAGACCTATTAAAAAATACTCAGTCACTAATCATCAGAGAAATGTAAATTAAAATCACAATAAGGCTTGAGAAGAGAAGCCGCCATACTGCGCGCTCCTGATCTGTTGAGTATCGCCCGAAATTCCCCACAACCTCAACCTTTCCCCTCCCTCCCGCCCCAGGCAGCCTTCAGGTGGAAATAGAGGTAGAAAAAGCAAGGATGAGAATCGGGGTTCTGCTGCCACAGCAGCACTTTTTCTTCCCTTTCTCAAGGCTCCCATCCCATGGGGTTGAAGGGCTTTGGAAATCCACTGGGCCCTCTTCATCCAACCGCCTGGTCCTGGTCTCCTGGTTTCACCCCAAGTGTCCTTCCTCATGGACCTCGGGCACCAGCCCAAGGCACCATGTGTCTGCCCGCCCTCCTGCCTGGGCCCTGGGACCAAGCAGCCTTCTGGGTGGGGTGGGTGCCTCAGCCCACGGGCTCCTTGGAGTGGAGCTGGGATGCAAGGAATTTCTGAAGCCCTGACATTTTCCAGTGCCTTTTAAGGGGGTAGAAATGAAAAAGGGGGAGGGAGGTGAAAATAAAAAACCACAATAAGATATTACCTCACACCTGTCAGAATGGCTATCATCAAAAAAATCAGCAAACAACAAGTGCTGGCGAGGATGTGGAGAAAAGGGAATACTAGTTCACTGCTGGTGGGAATGCGTATTAGTGCAGCCACTATGGAAAACGTATGGAGTTTCCTCAAAAAATTAAAAATGGAATTTCCGTTTGACCCAGCAATCCCACTTCTGAGAACATATCCTAAAAACCCCTAAACAACAATCAGAAATAATATGTGCACCCCTTATTTACAATAGCTAAGATTTGGAAAGAGCCCACCAATGGATGAATGAATAAAAAAAGCTGTAGGACAT